AATTTGTACATTAGTATTTAGAATAAAATCATGAATTTGTTCATTAATTCCCTTTCTCAATATGATTATCTTTGCCATTTGAAAGTACTCTTAACAGTTTAGACAAGCATGCTTTCAGAGGTTTCGGGAGCATGTGTTTATCAAATATATATAGTAAGTTACTTTTTACCATTCTAAATTATATATCAGATTTTATAAGGTCCTTTTTATTTTCTGCTTTACTAATATACTGTCTGTGCTTATAGTTGTACATTATTTATTTTAATAGGCGATAATATTCCAATTAATGTATAAGTAGATGTATAAATGGATATTAAATTTTTCCAGAATTTCTGCTATTACAAACAATGTAACAGTGATACTCGGTACACAGTTTTTTTGTGTATATAGATTTTTAGAGGTGGATTTCAGGATGTGGAATCGATGAGTCAAAGGGCATTCACATTTTAAATGCTGGTAGGCACAGCTGATTGTCCCTTTGGTTTATGTCTCAGCAGACTGTAAAGTTAATATTCAGTGTCATCTTTTTCAGTTTTTATCAAGTCTAGTGAACCAAAAATGCTCTCATTTGTTTGCCTAATTGCAGTTGGTGTCCAGAATGGTTTTTTTTGTTTTTACTCTTTTATAGTTTTTCTATGAATTTCCTGGTTATATCCTTCACTCATTTTTCTTTTGGATTGTTTTTCTTGAAATATATATACTGTTGATTAACTTAAAGAGAATTGATATTTTTACTATATTGAGTCTTCCTTCCTATAGCATTTATCTCTATTTTTTCACTGTTTAATTTTATTTAACAGTTGTATAACACTGTGTCCCAGGTACTGGTGTAAAGTACTTGACTAATACTAACTTACTTAATACTTACAACAACCTGTGGGTTCAGTACTGTTATCCCTGTTTTATAAATGTGCTCACAAGGTACTTAGTTCAAATAATTTGACCTGAACCATCAAAATAGTAAATGGTAACCCCAGGATTTGAAAGTGGGCAATCTGACTCTAGAATATTTAACTGCTACATGCTGCCTCTTTTTGAAGAAAACATTACATATTTATTCTGTAAAAGTCTTGTATATATTTTGTTGGATTTATTCTTAGTATCTTATTTTTTGTTTCCACTGTATGCAGTCTTATTTATTTATTTTTTTGATGGTACTGGGGTTTGAATTCAGGCCCTTGAACTTGCTGGGCAGGTGCTCTACCAGATGAGTCATGCCTCCAGCCCTTTTTGCTTTAGTTATTTTTTGAATAAGGTCTCACACTTATGCCTGGGCTAGCCTAGACCACTATCTTTTCATTTATGCTTCCTGCATAGCTGGCATGACAGGTGCATACCACCATACCCAGCTTTTATTGGTTGAGTTGGGGGTCTCAGACACTTTTTGCCTGGGTTAGCCTTGAACCACAATCTTCCCAATCTCTGCCTCACAAGTAGCCATGATTGTAAGTATGAGCCACCACTTCTGACCCATATACAGTATTTTTTAAAAATTAAGTTTTCCAACAATTGCTAATACGTAAGAATGAGATAGATACTTGTATAGTGTTTTTATTTCTACAGTCTTTCTGAACTCTTATTAATTTGTATTTAACTAAGACTCTTGGGGGTTTTCTATACTGACAGTTAAAATTCTAAGTTTTGCTTGCTTCTTTTGAATCCATCTGTCAAAGACTTCCAATTCAGTGTTGAATAGAATGCTGCGATGGCAGCATTTAACTCATTTAATGTGAGTACTTCTAACATCTCCCTGTTAAAATATGACTTTCTAAATTTCTGAGTTTGTGGTAGGTGTTTTTTGTCAGGTTAACAAAATTAACCTCTGTTTGAGTCAAGAAATAATTAGTGTACAGGCAGTTTTAAAAAGGGATTATTTACAAAGGTGTGGTAAGGGTTTAAGGTAACCCGTAATAAATCACCTGTGTTAGTTAACTTTCTGTTACTATAACAAATGTCTGAGACAATCAGCTAATAAAGAGAAAAGGTTTATTTTGGCTCACAGTTACAAAGGTTTCAGTCCATGATCATTTGGCCCCATTGCTTTTGGGTCTGTGGTGAGGAGCATGGCAGGAGCATGTTGCAGACAATACTGTGTAGTTCATGTCTTGGTGCGCAAAAGAATGAGAGACAGAGACCATTGTCTTACTTACAGTCCCCACCCAGGGCACATCCTCAATGACCTCAGACTTGCCAATAGCACTAAGCTAGAGACCACACCTTCAGCATAGGGACCCATCGGCCTACTTAGATCTTCTGCTCATGGCTCCCGAGGGCTCATATACGTCTCTATCTCACAGTGCAGCATCCATTCAGTCCACCTCCAAGAGCTTAGAAAGTCTTAACTTGAAAAAGAAAAAAAAAACATTGTAAGTCCAGAGTCTTCTCTGAGACTCAAGGGAAACTATTAGCTGTAAGTGCTTGTAAAAATAAGAAGCAAGTCACATACTTATGTGCTGGGTGTGGTGGTGGTACGTGCCTGTAATTCCAGCACTGGGGAGGTAGAGGAAGGATTGCGAGTTCCAGACCAGCCTGAGCTATGAGACTGTCTCAAGAAGCAAAAACGAGTCATTTCCATGATATAGAGGCACAAGGTAAACATTCCCTTTCCAAAATGGAGGAACGGGAAAATACAAAGGAGGGATCAGACCAAAGTAACACTGAAAACCGAGCAGGGCAAATGTTAAATCCTACAGCTCTATGTCTGGCATCCAGGGCACACTGATGCAGGAGGAGAGCTCCTAAGGGCTTGGATAGCTGTACCCCATGGCCTTGCTGGCTATAGCCCACATGGCCAATCTCTTGGGCAGACTATGCTCACTTCCTGTATCTTCTTTCAGCAGACATTCCGTATTCTTGGCATCTCTAACTTCCAGAAATCTCTATTGGAGCTTCCCTTATTCTTATAGATACATCATCATCCTGACAGGGGTTTCTTGCAGGGACTCTGACCCTGCCACATACTGCCTGGCCTCCTAAGCTTCCCTTTGAAATCTTAATCAAAGATTTCATGACCCATGATACTTGCATTCTGCATGCCTGAAAAACCAACATCACGCGGACAGTGCTAGGGTCTCCACCAGTATGAGCATTGCTTGGGCCACTGGAACCATGACTGCAGTGGCCTCTGTGTTCCTTACTGACCGAAATAAATGTCAAGGAAATGATAACTGAGGCAGTCCTGGATGTGCAGAGCTCCCAGGAAAACCTCTGAAGCAAATTTTCACATTTGTACCTAGTATGACTCCCTTTTCATTTATAATATTGTTTCTTTTGGAGGGGGGTTGTACTTTTCTCTGTTGACTAGCTTGGCTTGCCAGCATTCTTGAAAGTATAGTATTTGGAGAAGTGAGAAGAAGGCAAGACTTCTTACTGCTTGGAATTTAGAATTCTATTTAATTTCCATGTTTTAGTGTAGTGTCGCTGCCAGGTCCTGGAATTTAGAGACCCTGTGGTTCAGATCTTAAGAGTGACCCTCTCTGGAGCCTGAACATTCACTGCTTAGCTTAACACTTTTTGTTTCTTCTAAGTTTTGAATGCCTGTGAATTTCTTCCCCATCTTCTTTGGGAGCTCACATATGCATTTAAAAATATGTATTATATTCTACATTTCTAGGTGGAAAGGTTTTTTAGGTTATCATTTGTGGCACTTTGTAGTAAACACAAATCTTACTACTTAAAAAAAATTTAGCTAGTGAAGTGACTCAAGTGGTAGAGCACCTGCTAGGAAGCACAAGGCTCTAAGTTCAAGCCCCAGTACCACCAAAAAAAAATTAAGAAAAAGTTTACCTTTCTACTGTTTTATGTCCATCTCAGAACTAAACTAGAATAGTTATAAATGAATTTCATAGTTTTTTCTTTTGCTTTTACAAAGATAATATCCATTATTACATACATTTCTTATTTAATTTTGTGAACCTGCTATACCATATTTCTGTAAAATATACCTTTTGTCTTTTTCATTTATATATAGATCATGGGTCTATTTCATTCCATCTTATAAATAGGTCATCATGAACATCTGCCCTCATGGTCATTGTGCTAGGCATGGAGGGATGTTAAGGTGCCTTAATTACCTTGGCCTGGAAGTCACCAATTTCACTTCTACTCACATTTTAACAGGGGAGGCTGGGAAATAAAGTGTACCTTTTGGGTATTTTGTGAGTTTGCCATACTTGGCTTATTCTGTAGAATTATGGTATGTATAGCTACTTTTTATAAATACAGTTTGACATATATAATTAGAGTTTGTAATACTAAGTCTTTAAAGCATTTTATACCAATAAACTCTAATAGCCTAAGATAATTAGGTAAGAGTATATTTGGAGAGAGTTCATTGGGGTAAATATCTTACAGATTGTTAAGCATGGCTTCAAGATATCTAGAAATTTCTTATATCTTGTACAATTATTAATGGTGTTATAAATCAAGGAATTAAGTGAGCAGTAATTAGATAAATAACTTTTTAAAGTAAATGAAAATTTCTTTATAAATATAAAATAGATATTTTGTAAAAGATTTTATTTAACCAATTATTTACTAAGGGAAACAGACAGAAGTTAAGCCTGGTTTAAGTGGGAAATCAAAAACACAAATTGATAAGGAATAAAGAGAGGCCAAGGTGAATTTATACATGGACACTAAATTCCATTCTCCTCTGGAGCATGGAGAGACTTTAATTGAACCTGGTGGGGCCAGAATTTACTTGCATATCTATGGACAAGAATTATTTTGCATTTGGTATCAGTTATCTGCAACTTATATAGTTATAAAATAGCTCAAGGACAGTGAAAGAGTAGAATTAGATAATCAAGAAGAATGTGCTCTAATGCAGTTTTTCATTTGAGACACAATAATCTGTTTTGCTTATTCCACATTTACTTCCAATCAAAACCCATACCAGATAAATTCTGATTCAGTAATGTGTTTTATCTGAGAGATATTCAGGGCAGTTGTAAAACATTGTAAGAAACTAACAAATGTTATATTTCTTTTTGTTTCAGGTTTATGCTGCTGATTGTAGTGATGGTGTTCTTCTAGAGCTACGAAAATATTTGCCAAAATATCATGGCGTCTGGTCACCTCCTACTGCACCAAATGGTAATATTTCCTTAAAAGTACATCTTTCAGTTTTAATTCATGCAATTGACTTTCTAAAGGCTTTATGTAAAAGTAAACAGGATGTTTTGTGATAATAGTCTATATGTGCTTCTCTTTCTGGTCTTCACTAAACAAAATTTACTAATACTTTTTGCAACCATTTTTTCAATAGCATATATAAGTTAAGTGATAAATCCATTATAGTTGAATGAAAGTGTGTATACTAGTATACTAGAACTTAATATTGTATTAATTTAGAGATGCTCTTCTTTTCTAATTTATTGTATAATTTCTTTTCTCACTTTGTATAATAAAAATATATCAAAGAAATTATTTTCTCTGTATGGCTTCTCCCTATCTCCTACTTCATTGTCCACCCCTAGGCTTTATTTTTCCTTATTAGGCACATGCTATATCATTGAATCAAGTCCCCAGCCCCACCTCCAGGCTTTAAATTTGTAGTCTTGCTAAACACTGGGAAGTTTCATGAAGGATGAAATGATGTCTATTAAGGGTACAGGATTTCTTTTTTTTCCCCCATCTAGTACTTGAGTTTTGAACTAAGAACTGTGAATCGCACCCCTATCCCTTTTTGTAGATACAGACTTTGCACTTTTGCCTGGGATCAGCCAGGGGACCCTGATCTTCAGACCTCATCTCCTGCCTAGCTAGAATTATACATGCACATCACCATGCTCAGTTTGTTCTTTGAGATGGGGACCTACTGATGACTTGCATGGCTGGCCTTGAACTGCAGCCTTCTCAATCTTAGCCTCCCAAGTAGCTGGGAATTATAGGCATGAGCCATTGCACTGGCAGATTTCTTTTTCTTAACATTAGTTAGCATTGAAGCAATATTTGCTGTCTTGGAAAGCCTCTTACCAGAATAGGCCAAATTTAACTAAGTGAGAAACTTGACTACCTAACCATTGATGAAGGTGAAAAAAGGGTTTCAATCTTGAATGGATTTAAGATAACCTATAGTCTTGTTAAAATGCTAATTTACAAGCACCCCTAATAAATTATGCAGGACTAAGAAATTAGTGATGTTTTGTTAAATAAACGGTATAGGTTTTTTTCTGATGTAGATCGTTGAACCACAGCTTGAGAATGGAAAGAGAAGGGAACCCTAATTTGAGCTTCTTCTTTTCCTCACTTCTTGTTTTCCTTTGATTAGTAGTCTAAATTAATGTGCCAATTTCATTAATAGGGGATCTTGGTATCTCCCTGTGAGATGCTCAGCTATGTAGTAGTGAATTGATGGCTTATTTGAGTGTTTGGGATTCACATATGCTTTAATTGTGTGTGTGTGTATAAATGAACCTGTTAACTTCAGGTTGAGTAGCCCTTATCTGAAATGCTTGGCATGAGATGTTTCAAATTTTGGAATATTTGCATATACACAGATACCTTCCTACTGGGACCCAGTCTAATCATGAATTCATGTTTTGTATGCATCTTGTAGACTGAAGGTAATTTTTACTGTGCCTGAATTTTGATTGTGATCCAACTCATGAGGTCAGGTATGGAATTTTCCACTGTGACATGTTGCTGCACACGGAGTTTCAGATCTGGGGGCAATTTGAATTTCAGATATTTGGATTAGGGATGCTCAACCTATATTCGGCCATTCCCAGTCTCTGTCACTCCCTCGCTCTTTCTCTGTTTCTTTGGTTTAAAGGTCAGTTAGTCCCGTCTGTATGTATGTAGCTATGATTCAGGTTAGTATGTCGTTTAAATTACTTCACAAGTTGTTATGATTGTCATGAGTCATTCTTCTCTTTATAGTGTGAGTCCGTATGGTTGTGGAGACACCTTTGCTTTGTAGAGCTTCCCTTTTTGCTTGTAACATCTTCCCTTTTTCCCCCTTTGCTCTAAGTGGCACATTTCAGGAATGTTACATTTGAGATAAAGGTGAAACTAAGGTATCTAGAGTTCAGTGAGCTTTGTGATTGATTGCTGTTTAATTTAGAGCAAGTCATTATTCCTCAATGAAGTACACTGAGAAATTAACAAAGGTTGCTGAGGATAGTGCTTGATTAGAAATCTAGGTAATGGCAAAGGCCTATAATCCCAGCACTCAGGAGACTGAGGTTGGAGGATTGCTAATTTGAGACCGGCCTGGGCTACATGGTGAGACCTGTGTTGGGAAAGGGTGGATAACTGAGCAAATACAGTGTCATTACTTGGAAAAGTAGAATAAAATTTCATAAAAGCAGTATCTTAATTATCATTTAGGATTACTAGCACATGATTTTCTTTTCTTTTCTTTTTTTGGGGGGTGGGGAGAGAGAGGGTCTTGGCTATGTTACCCAGGCCAGTCTTAAACTTTATGATCCTCCTGCCTTTGTAGAATACTGTGGTTTGTATTTCTGTGTTTTATGTAGTGGTAAATTAATGACATGTATTTCTAGTTTTGTTTTTTGTTTGGGTATCTTTCCTTATGTGTTCAGGATAGAGTTTTATAAATATGATACACTTTTTGGACAATCCAAAGTAGTAAAATTCTGAAAGTAGCAAAGTATAGAAAGCTATCTATCTATCTTGTTTAACAGAATTATTGTCTAACAGTTCATTTGTTTTTCAGGTAGGGTCTTGTGCTAACTCTGCCTGGGCTGCCTACAACTGCACTCCTATCTCTGCCTCCCCAGAAACTGGGATTACAGGCATGCAGCACCACACCCAGCTTGTTTCTGAGATAAGGTCTTGCTACATTTGTCTGAGCTGGCCTTGAACCTTGATCTTCCTATCTCTGCCTTTCTCTTTTAATTTTTTTATGACAGGTTTATTGAGTTGTAATGTATATGCCATAAAACTCACCCACTTAAAGCACATGATTCAATGATTTTTGGTATATTCAGAGTTGTATAGTCATCACCAGTATCTGATTTTAGAATATGACTAGTGAGATTTAAAAAATTATTAACATTTGTTAGCAATTAGCTTTGAAAATTTCAGGCTAATTATTATTATTTTTTGGCAGTACTGGGGTGTTGAACTTAGGCCTTGAGTTTGCTAGGCAGGTACTCTATCTACCATTTGAGCCATTCTGCCAGCCCTTTCTGCAATGGTGATTTTTGAAATGGGGTCCTGCTTTATGCCTGTATTAGCCTGGATCATGATTTGTCCTATTTGTGCTACTCTACATAGCTGAGATGACTGGCATGCACCCCCACACCCAACCATTCATTGAAATGGGGTTTCGTCAGCTCTTTTGCCTGGGCTGGTTTGAACAGTGATCCTCCTGATCTTTACTTCCTGAGTAGCTAGGATCACAGACTTGACCCACCATGCCTAATCAGCAAAATCTTTAGTTATGAAGTGTTATTTTGTAATAACTGGTTATTACTTTAATGATCTTTTCCTCAAAAACATTTTTAAAGAAACTATAGAAATTCTGTATAGACCTTTTAAATAAATATTAGATTATTGCCCCTAGCCTCTACTTCTAGTTACTGTGACCTCTTGTTGCCTTGTTTTTTTGTCTCTATTTTAGAAGTCCAGTATTAGTCTAATTCTTTTTGATTTGTATGTCATTTCATGAGTTTTCTTTGGAGGCCTTAAGGTTTTTCTTTTTTTTTTTTGGCAGTACTGGGGTTTGAACTTAAGGCTTCATGCTTGCTAGGCAGGCACTGTACCACTTGAGCCACTCCACCAGCTACTGTGACCTCTTGAAATAAATTCTACATGTAACATGAAGAGTACATATCCTGTAGTTTATTATAGAAATACCAGCACTAAGCTTTACAGAATACCTCTTTTATCTATGGTTTACAAATTCCAGGCCTTAGACCTTTGAAAGACTGAGTTTATAAAATTCTGTTGTCCTAATTAGAGTTTCCAGAGTTTAAAAAAATAGATCTGGTTAATTATGCTAATTTTATGATTTATATACATATATGTAAAGTTAGTTCTGTTCTTTTTTTTAATAGTCAAAATTCTGTCTGTACTTGCAAGTTGCATTTTATGAAATAATTGTCATTATAGGGTATTTTTCAGACACCATATTAACATAGTCCTTATTCTTGACCTTGGTCAGAGTAACCCTAAAGTATTCCAGGTAGAACATATTTATTATATTTTTTGATACATTTTAGAAATGTATCAAAATAAAAAAAGCATAAATAAAGCATCAAAAACAACCCTATTTTTCATGTTCTACAGTAATCTACTATCTATAATCTTAACTAATCTGTAACCTTTTCTTCAGAATTAAAAAAAAATAGAGAAATAGGCTAGCAGTATTTGAGGAAGTATGATATAGTAGTCTCAGAGGATGGGAAAGTAAATAGATTTGGAAAATAGAGTATGACAGTTGAGCAAGCATAAGGGCCCTCTGGAGGTGAGTAATCAGATTGAATGTGATTTTCAGTCACAACACATTTTAACCTGATAATAATTAAATGTTATTGTTAATACTTAACTGCAGGTTAGGCATAGTATCAGCCTCAGGATTATAGTATCCATTATCAAATGCCTAACTGAGGCATTTGATGTATTTTTATTTTGTGGTTGTTAAGTTATACTTGTCTTAACTGGAAGGAAGACTCCAGAGAATCATCTTAATGTTTTTATTTATATTGAACACTGAAGTTCAGCTTGGATCCATTGGTGACCTAACATGGTTAGCAGATTTTAATATTTATCAGTGGCTATGCACTTTTAATATTTATATAACTTACAGGTAAAATTAGTAAATATTCAATGAGTGCCAGATATTCACTAGATGTTATGCAAAATAAAATGGTGTTTCTACTCTTAAAAACCAACTCTGTGAAGGCAAGATTTTTATCTATTTACTTATACATCCCAGTGTCTTGCATAAGAATTATATATTTAATGTATGCAGTTTTGTTTGGATGGAGTAGGGGAGCATTGTAACCCCCTTATGAAACTGGTACTGACTTTATACTATCCACTTTGTGGCATGATATCTCACTTAGTCTTCATGATATTCCTCCGGTAAATTCTATTATTATCTCTATTGTACACATAATTTAGGTACAGAGAAGTGCTCCTGAGGTCACAGGTGAATAAATGGTAGAGCTGAGATCTGAACTTTCTCTGCTTCCAAAGCAGTTGCTTTAAACTGTTATCTTTTTGGTTGAGATTCTTTTGGTGCAAGTTATAGAAACAGATGTCAACTTCATTACACAAAAATGAAGAATATATTATAAGGACACAGGAGTGTTCCATGAAAGTTAAGGGATGTATATCTGAGCCCAAGATAGAACCACAACCAGAAAACAAATTCTGTCAGAGCCCAGAGATATCTCTCTCTCTCCATATTTTCTGAACTCTTCTTTCTCCTCTGGCTTCCTGAGCAGTCCTCACCAAGGGAATCTCTTACCTTTCATTGAGGGATTTACATGTTATGGCAATATTGGTGATCACCAACCCTCTCCAAGTCACCAGCAGATATTTCTGCATCGCAGTTCCAAATTTAGTAAGACTGGCCAAGCTTGTCTATTCTTGCTTCAGTGACTGTGACTGAGGGACTGAATTCCAAAATACGCCATGGACTACAAAGGGACCATTTCTGAGGATATCTCTTGAGCTAGGTAAACACCATAATACACAGTGACATTCTGTCTAGTCAAATGTTTTTTAAAAGCTTCTTTGTTTATAATATGTAATAAATACATTTTTTGCACTATTACTCAATGTTTATAAGATTGAGACCAACCCCACAGCAATACTTAGTCTTTGTACATGTGAAACCATCTCATAGTTCCTCTCTTTTTCTTTCATTTAAAGAACTTTTGGTTACTACCCATTCAGTTGAATTCACAATCTAATCATGGGTTGTGACCTACAAATGGAAAAGTACTGCTGCACCCCCTGGGGTCCTGGCTGAAAAGGTGTCCTTTGTTATCCAGTCTGGGTTTTAAAATTTTATTTATTTTATTTATTTATTTATTTATTTTTTGGTGCTGGGGTTTGAACTCGGGGCCTCATGCTTGCTAGGCAGGCACTCTACCAGTTGAGCCACTCCACCAGCTTTTTCTGTGTTGGGTATTTTTAAGATAGGGTCTTGAGAACTATTTGCTCGGGCTGCGATCCTTCTGATATCTGCCTTCTGAATAGCTAGGATTACAGGCATGAGCCCCTGGTGTCCAAGTTATCCAGTCTGTGATACTGCCTGATGAGGCTGTTCTGATGTAAAATGCCTTTGATTATTTAAGTCACTGAATCTCAAGATGGACCTACTATGAATTTAGATCTCTTCTATGGAGAGAATTTTCTAGTAGCATTTTTGCAAAGTGAATTAATATTCAGATTTATATACAGATGACAACTTATAAAAGAAAATCAATAATTATCTTAATGCTCAGATCATGCCCATTTTTCTTATTTACCTTTTTAAAAAACACTTATGGTAAGCTGCTAGTTATATAACATCAATTCTTTCTTAAGAAATCTGTATTTCTAAAGCAGGTTTTGATGTTTGGTTTTTATAACTTGGAAGGAAAGAGAAATAAGAATCTCAGATTCTTATTTTCACTTCAGATGAGGCCTGAGAGCTAAAAGAAAATGGCAAACCAGGCTTCAGTAGGCCTTAACTCAGGCCTTTATTTGTGAGGGCTAATTGCAAATAATCTAGCAGTTAGTTGGTAATTCTAAGCATACAAGACATATCAAGAACCAAATAAAGAAAAACACATTTGACCAGTCAAAATAAACGCCAAATAAAACCCATTATACTCATCCCTATTTGCTGAAGAAACTACTCAGTTTATTATAGTATGGTGAAAGCCAAGTCCAAAGTTCCATGAGACAGTAGTAGTGGGATGGCAAACATTCATTACTCAGCAAACATTTATTACATTCTTACTATAAAAATGTATTTTTTTCTTTTCCAAGAGGAGAAAGTAGAAATGGAAATTTTTATGTTCAGACTGGTAAAGTCTATGTCAGCTTTGTTATCTCTCTCTCATAATGAAACAGGTTATTATTTGTTTTTAATCCTACCAAATTGACACATTGAAAACAACCTTGCACTGAGATATAGATGCCTTGTTCCCCCCACTGTCTTTAAACTCTCATACACAGCCTTACCTCACTAAGATTTTTTGGAAATCTCTTGTCTCCAGATTAATGAGGGTAAGTTTTTGAATGTCACAGATGTACTGTGCTAGAATCTTTAGTCTTTTCTGGTATTTGGATTATGAGCCTTGTTGCTAAAATTCTTACACAGCTATAGTGAGAGGATCTGTTTCCTTCCCTTTTGCTCACAGTGTTAGAGATGGTAGGAGAGAATCTGAAGAGGACTGTCCCATTTTGCTTCCTTTCCCAGCTTCTCTTACTCATCCTTTGGTTATCTTTTGGAGCACAGAAGATTGAAGGGTTCTAATTCTTTAATCAGGATATTTCCACTTGTCTGTTACTTTTCAAGCGCTGCAGTTTTGTGCCTGTGTCTAGATCGTTTGTTTTTTCTCATCCTGTCAAAGGTGTCTTTCTAAGAACTTTTTTTTCAAGTGTGAAGGGTCCTTTTGTAGTCAGTGCTGCTTTCTTGGGTTGCGGTTCCTTTTTTTTTTTTTTGATCATATTTAGGCTTAATGTCTACATAGTTATAACCCTCTTCTTAACTTTCTTTGAGTAAGGAGTAAAATGTATATCTTATCCTTTCAAGGAGAAGATTTATGCCTCTTAAATCTGAGATATTTAAAATTTTCAACCCCTAATTGAGTTGTTCTCACTTGGTTCAGCATAAACTTGTAATTTAATAACTATGCTAGTCTTGATGGGACAGGAACAGAGAAAGGACAGAGGCTTCTCTTATTTCTGATACCCTTTTATTTAATTCAGAGAAAATGTACACTTTCTCTAAACTTACTTATTGTGTCGAAAGCAAGCTATAATCTTTTCTGTCTTTGAGGAGAAGTTTTTAGGAGAAATCTTTATTATTACATTCATAACTAAAAAATGAATCATGATCTCATTCAGAACTTTGAGAAGATTATTTTACCCAGGAAAGGGGGAAAGGATTTCTTTCCTTACTCCTTCCCTCATTGGACCTGGATGCTTATTTTCAAGCTTAAACTGTAAGTTCATCTCTGTGTGATAACTGGTGTTTTTATAATATTATACTTGAATTTCCATTTAAGTTTTAGTGGGAAGATGTATGTGGTATGCTAAAGTGATTTACAGACTAACTTTTGGGGGAATATCTCTGTTCTGAAAAGCAAGACATTTATTTTTTCTTGGAAGCTAGCAAGACTAGCATATGTATATTTAGCGGTGATCATAATTTGTATTGATTTACCTTTACTTCTGTTACATAGTCTGTAGGAAGGACTTACTTGTATTACTAATGTTAAATAAAGAATAAACTTTAAAAAATTTATTAAAGTGCCAAGATCTCATGCTGAGCTCTTGTATTCAAAACGAGGATTGATATATTCTGTTACAGCTTTGAAATACCTCGTTACCTTTTGCTTTTCCTTACGGTACTGAGTTTGAACTCAGGCCCGTGCGATTGCTCAGTACTCTACCACTGGAGTCACAGCCCAGTTCTCTCACTGCCTTTTAAATGCCTGTCGAAACCTTACGTCTACTCCATCACCTTTGCGTCTGGTTAAATTTGAATATTGGTTAATTCACTTCCTGAATTTTTTGTGATATTTATACATGTTATAAATTTGTTGGTCAGTTTTTTTTTTTAAGGTACAGTGATAATAATTACTGACTCTAGATTTATTTTTAGCTTTTCTCTTCTAGGATTGATTTCCTTTTTGTATCTCCCTTTAGTTACTTGAGTAGTCATGATTACTCTCATTAATTAATGTTTTTTTTAATAACAGACTTATACTTAAAACTGGAAGATGTGACTCATAAATTTAATAAGCCCTGTATAATGGATGTAAAGATAGGGCGAAAAAGCTATGATCCTTTTGCCTCATCTGAGAAGATTCAGCAGCAGGTCAGCAAGTACCCACTGATGGAAGAGATTGGGTTCTTGGTGCTTGGCATGAGGGTAAGAGTGATTATCAGTGTAATATACACGTTTTCTTTATGTGTTCTTCCTTTGAAAATTATGAATGCCATTTTAATATCAGAAGGTAACTCTCCAGTATGTAAACTTTGTAAGGACAGGGATTTTCTCTTTTTTGTTTCCTGTTAGATGGTGTCTCTGGTAGTGGCGCATAGTAGGTGATTAATAAATGAGTGCCTGAACCTCAAGACTATAACTCTGGTAATTTCATTGCAAAATAAATACTAAAGGAAGACACATTACTTATGACTTTCCCATGAGAAAAGAACTGTTTTCCTGTATTTTTAAAATGGAAAAGAGAAATTAAATGTTGTTCACCCTTTTTTTTTAAGATATAATAATTGTTGACTTTAGATTTATTTTAAAGTTTCTCTTGTTTCAGAATTTGTGGTTTAAAACAGTTCATTTATTCACAGTTCTTTGGATTGGCATTTTTAAAAACTTTATTTTTAACTGATACATAAAAATTTTGCATATATGGAGCATCTATAAAATTTTCAATTTACATATATATTGTGTAATGTAAGCATATTTATCTCATCAAACATTTTTCATACTTTTATAGTAAAAGCATTTAAAATCCTTTATTGTAGCTCTTTTGAAATATACAGTACATTATCTGTAGTCCCTCTCCTGTACAGTAGCTTATCAGAACTTCCTTCTCCTAGTTCTGATTGTACCCATGGATAACCTTTGGGTTGGCAGCTTGTGCTGGGCCCAGGTACAGTTTTTTCACTGGTCTCAGCCAGGCCCTTCATGTGGCTGCTGCCATCATCTCATGACTGGGATATTGAGGGATGACTGAATACAATTCACTGGTTTTCATCTATTCATGTAGTTGGGCAGCCATCACCACATTAATCTTTTAGACTTTCCAAAGTGATAAAATAGGTCACTGACCCATTAGTGACCCATAGGTGACTGATTCTCCCTTTCCTTCCAACTTCTCTAGTCTCTACACAACCATCTATCCACTTCTGTCTCCATTGATTTACATCTGGACATTTCATAGGAATAGAATCATACAATACAGTATGTTGGGTTTTTGACTAGCTTCTTTCATTTAGCTAAATGTTTTCAACATTCATCCATGTTGTAGCATACATCAGTACTTTGTTCCTTGTTACTACTGAGTAATACTCCATTATAGGGATAGAACATATTGTATTTATTCATGAATTCATTGGCGGACTTTGAAATTTTTCTCTTTTTGACTGAAATGAATATTTGTATATAAGTTTCTTCGTGAATATATGTTCTTATTTCTTCTGAGTAGATTTCTAAGTGTGAAATTTGTAGGTCTTATGGTAAGTTCATGTTTAACTTTTTAAAAACTGCTAAGATGTTTTTTTTCAAAGTCACTGCAACCAGAAATATACATGGTTTCCATTTTCTCCTTATCTTTGATCCTTGTTACCTTTTTTGGTTTTTGGCAACCATCTGATTAGTATCATGTGGTATTTTGATTTCCTTAATAATAACAAGCATCTCTTCATGTGCTTATTGATTATTTGTCTATCTTCTTTTCAGAGAAATGTGTATTGGTCTTTTTTTTTTTTTTGTACTTGAACTCAGGGCTTTGTGGTTGATAGGTAGGAGTTCTTCACTCTGATTATTTTGGAAATAGGGCCTCCCTTTTTGCCCAGGCTGGCCTGAACCACAGTCCTCCTATTTTAAACTTTCTGCCATAGCTGGGATGACAGCCCCATGTCCAACGTTTTTACATTGAGATGGTGTCTCTCAACTTTTTTCCCCTGGACTGACTTCGAACCCATCTCAGCCTCTTATGTAGTTTGGGATGACAGGTGCATGCCACTGTGCCCAGCTATTAGTTGAGATGGGGTCTTGAAAACTCTTTGCTTGAGCTGGGCTCAAGCTGCAATCCTCCTGATTTCAGCCTCCCAAGTAGCTAGGATTACAATATTTGTTTTTTATTATTGAATTGTATGCAAATCCCTCATGAGACATTTATTTGTAAATATGTTCTCATACTTTACCAGTTCTTTTCACTTTATTGTGTCCTTAAAATATAAATATTGTTATTTCTGAATTCTAATTTATTAATTTTCTTTTGTTACTTATACTTTGGTGTCCTATGTAAGAAACCATTGTCTAACCCGAAGTTACTAAGATTCTTTTTTACTTGACAAATAAAAGTGTATGTACTTATCATATACAAAGTGCCATTTTTTAAATGTCATCAAGATTTACTTCTATTTTTCCTTGAAGAATTTTGTAGTTTTATCTCTTAGGTTGAGATATTTGATAAATTTTAAGTGCATTGTTTTGCATGTGTGTATCCAGTTGTCTCAGCACCAGTTGTTGAAGAGTTCTGTTTTCCCTACTGAATTAGTCTTGACACCATCATTGAAAATAAATGTGAGTTTATTTCTGGAATCTTAATTTTATTCCACTGAAGCATATTTAGTTCATCTTTATGGTCAGTACCACACTTCTTGATTCATGTAGCTTTGGACTAAGTTGTGAATTGTAAGTCTTTCAGCTTTGTTCTTTTTGGGATTTTCATAGGGATTGTGTTGGGTCTGTATATCAGTTTGCTTTCCCCTATTTTTGTTCTCATAGCTTCCTGTATATAGTACAACAGTTTATAATTAAACATTCACTACTTACCTGATTGAAGTGTAAAATAAAGTGACAATGTGAGTATAATTATACAGTGTTAGAATATTAAAACTAGCAATAAACCTGGGTTTAATACGAGTAATAATAGGATTTTTTTTTTTTTAATGGTGCTGGGAGTTGAACTCAGGGTCTTGTACTTCCTAAACAGGTGCTCTGTCACTTCTACCACTGTGCCAGGCCAGGATTATGTTTTAGTAGTTTATTTGATTTTTTTTTTTTTTTTAAGTACTGGGGCTTGAACTCAGGGCCTATACCTTGAGCCACTCCACCAGCCCTTTTTTTGCAATAGGTTTTTTCAAGATAGGGTTTCATGAACTATTTGCTTGGGGTTGGCTAAGAACTGTGATCCTCCTGATTTCTACCTCCTGAGTAGCTAGTATTATAGGCGTGAGCCACTGGTGCCCAGTTATAGTGTATTTTCTTTAGTGTATTTCTTTAGTAAGTTTGTTTGGATTAGAATTATTTCATATTTAAAAAATTTGCTTCCATGACAGTCATGCCTTTAAATAAAACTCCCTTTTATTATCACTGACTAAACTATGATGTTTCCCAAATATATTGGTTTTAAAATTGTTTTCTGCCATATTTAACCAGTCATAAAAGAGGTTTGAAAGGTAGAGTAACTTGCCTATTTTCTGTGCTGATTTAGGAATACGTTTTTATGTGACTTTAAGCAATTATACTCTGTTTCCTCTATCCGAAGATGATATAGATTATTAAGACTCACCATTGACGTGAATGTATGTGAGGGAGTTTGTGGGGGCATCAGCAGGAGGGAGAGGGGGAAGGAAAGGATACTGAGAGGATGCATATCTATATACTGAAGACAACATAATGAAACCCACCAATCACTGAAGAAGCAGGGAAATGGAAATAGAATGGGGGTGGTGAGTGTGTTCAAAGTATACTGTAGCATGTGGGGAATTATCACAGTGAAATTCTGTCGTGTTGTTAACGTATGCTATTGTGTAGTTAAAACCTACTTAAATGAGAAAGGGTATGTGATATCTTAAGAATCTTGTTTGTCACTAAACCCTCACACTATTTTAAATGAAACAAGCACATTATTGAATGATAATTTTTTATAAGCAAATGATATAATTTATCAAATTCTTATCCAAGATTGCTCTCCCATCAAAGAAGGAATAAAATATAAATGATTTTCGTAGTGTAATAAAATAGGGGAATAATATTTATAATAAAATAAATGAAATTTAAAAAGACTCACCATTGACTTAATAAGACTTACTGAAATATATGCTATAAAAGAGGTAGAAACAAAATTGGGCCTATAGCAACAAAGGAGTCAAAAGGCGGGGGCTACAGGGTGATTTTGGAAAAGGTGGGTTTTTGAACTGGCAGTAAGGGACAGTAATTGGTCCAAAACTAATTAGCACCAGAGCATCTGTAAAAGAGGAGTTAATGTAAGGTGACTGAGTGTGCCTCAGTGGGTTGATGGGGTCATGTTCTCTTACGGTATCAGACTAAAGAGAAGTTAGTACAGCAGCAGTGACTTTGGAATTTAGTATTTTGAAATAGTGTTCTTAAAGATCGACTGTTGTGTTCATAGTTTATTTTTCCATTTTGGTTCTGACTCCGAAAACATATGCTGTGTAATTATAGGGGTTTATTATGTTTATTTACCAGAGGTTAATTAAAAAACATTTTTAGAAATTCACCTGAAAAATTTTAAACTAATTCACGATTTTGGGTGATCTCACTTTTAGATGCTCCAATATATTTTGGACAATAGCTTACATTTTTGACAAAGAAATACCCTGTGGGGAGAAGTTGCCTTTCCTAATTCTGACTTTGTATTACTGGAGGGAAAAGATACTTTTTTCTAATCTTTATTGATTATGTTGTCTAAAAATCAGATTCTTTTTTTTATATCTCCTTTTTTCCTTATGATAGTGTGGGATAGTAACACTTTAGATTTCTCTGGCTCATAAATTGACTTAAAATGAAACGTGCTTATTAAAATGTTTGAATTTGTTTGCTCCTGTCGTAAGTTCACATAGAGAAGTGACTGATGGGGTGCAATACCAATAAGAAGTTGCTGGGCTGGCTTTTGCTCATTCTGTCTTCTTAACATGTGCGCCAGCCAATTTAAAAAATATACAGGCTTTTTTTTCTTTTTGCTACATATATACATTTTGAGGGTAGGAATTAATTTTTGATTTATAAATATTGTTATTACTGTGCAAGAGTTTGTAGTGAGCAGAGACCAGAGAAACTCTCAGACCTTTTTCATTCTAGTTTTAATAAAGTCAAAATGAGCAGAGGAAAAGAGATGTCAATAAAGGCATTGTCCTGAAGGGATTAGCTTTTTTAGTCTGTATGTGAAATTTAGGTTCTTGTGGATGAGATTCAGTTTGGCTCAGATAATATACTTCTGAATAATGGAATAGCAACTTTTTAAAAAATTAGAGTCTTCTTTCAATTTATTAGTTATTTTTGGTGGTGCTTGGGATCATACTCTAGGCCTTGCTCATATTAAGCATGTGCCATAGCACTGAGGTACATCCCCAGCCCTCGAATCCTCTTTTAAACATATTTGTGTAAAATAGAGAATGAGATATTTAAAAAACACTTTAGATGTGCTTAACTATTCCTATAAAATACTTTGTCCTATAACCAATGTGATTTTATATAGTGTTTACCATGGTGTTCAAAGGAATTGTTTTAACATAGAGAGAGAGAGACAGAACCACATTAATTATGTAGTCCATGCTGGCCTCAAACTTAGTCCTGTCTCAGCCTCCCTAGTGCTGTATAGGCATGTGCTATCATTTCTGGCTAAGAAATTGTCCTTCATAATAGGCTTTATGTATGCGTAAAAGAACATGGTTATACTTGACCTTTTTCATTGTAGTGAAGAATTTGACATAGTAATTATGTCCCACTGAAAATTATAACATGGCAATTTTCTAAATAAATATATTACTAATTCTTCTTAAAAATTAAAAATTTAAACGATACCTTGTTTTATGCTTTAAATTCCAAAAAGTGTAGAAACATACACAGTGAGTAGTCTGCCTCCACAGAGGACACCATATTATATTTTTCTTGCCAGAGTATTCTTCCAGAGATGCTTTATAATATGCAGATATGGCATATGTGTGTTTCTTTATCACAGAACCTGATTTGAACCCTATTTTATGTTTTGTGCATTTTCCCATATAACATATCTTAGCTCTTTCCATAGTGGCACAGTATTTGTTATACCATAATTTAATTTCCTTTGATGTATCCTTTGATTCTATTCTTTTGCTATTATAAGTCATGTTACAGTAAATAACTATATAGAACTACCTCATACCAGTGTACTAACTTATTCTTGGGATAAATCCTTAAAGGGGAAGTGTTTGGCTTATATATCTCTATAATTTTGATAGATATTGACAGTTTGCCTGGTATGGAGCAGTGGTTTTCAACCAGGGGCAAGTTTGCTACCCAAGGAGACATTTGGCAATGTCTGGAGAGATGTTTTTGTTTGTCACAATTGAGGGAAAGGGCTGTGTTCCTGTTAAGTGTGAGAGCTATTTGATTTCTGTGAACTCTTCATCCTTTGTTCATTTTTCCTTAAATGTAAACATACCCTATAGTTATCACATAACTTTCACATATCTTGTCCATTCATATTTTGATTTCTAAAATAGCTAAAACACTGAACACTGAGTACAGATTGAATGGGGTAGAAATTTCTGAATTTGGGGTAGAAATGCCTTCCCTAATTATGAGTTGTTCTAGGATTCTTCCATGTTTTTTTTTTGAAGGGGGGCTTTTATCATTTCATTTCATACACTTTGATCTTTGATGGATTTGGAATTTATCCTGGCATATGGTATAAGATATGAATACAACCTTTTTTTTCCTGATCACTACATAATCAAATAACACCATTTAATCATCTTTTTCCCACTGACTTAAAATCCTGTTACCACATGCCAAATTTTCATAAATATTTGATTTGAAATGTGTTTTAATATCTGGTAGTTCTGTCTTTTTAATCTTATTTTGATTTATCCTGTCTCCTTTTTTTATGTGAACTTTTTCTTCTCGCTTTAAATTTATTTTTTTGGTCTTTTTTATGGCGGGCCCTTGCTTTATTGCCCAAGCTGGCTTCAAACTCTGGGCTGATGCGATCCTCTTGCCTCTGCCTTCTGAGTAGCTGAGTGCAGGATAACACCGATATACCCAGCACTAAATGACCTTTAGAATTAGTTTATATGGTTAAAACCTGGTTGTGGCTTTATTAGAATCTCATTTTGGTTGTAGATTAACTTAAATTGAATAGATATCTTTTATGATGTTGAATCTTCTTGGAGAACATGGTTGTATGTCTTAGGAGTGTATTGAAGATGTCTTTATATGGATCTTGTGCTTGGTTTACTCTGTTTCTTAGTTCTTTTTTTGTTGCATTTGTAAATGGGGTCATTCTTCTACTACATTTCTAACCAATTATTTGTATATTTGAAAGGTTATTCATACTTAACCACCATTTTAAATTTTTATTGTATATATTCATTTTTAAATTAATATCCCAGTATAAATCATTATCTACACGAATAACTTTATCTTGTCCTTTCTAAATGATTATCTATCTAAATGTTTCTCTGTGTGTGTGTGTTTTACTGAGGTTTTACCTCAAAGACCTTGCTCTTGCTAGTCACGTACTCTACCATTTGACCCATACCTCTAGCCTTTTTTTGCTTCAGTTATTTTCAAATAGGGTCAAACATTTTTGCCTAGGTCAGTCTCATAACACAATCTTTATTTTTTGCATGTGCTGGCCTCGAACCTCAGTCCTCCAGATCTCTACCTCTTGAGTAGTTGGAATTATGGATGTGTTCTACCATGCCAAACCCTCCTATTTCTTTTTATCTATTTGTATTTCCTAGTAACTCCAAAATAATACTAGATAATAAAATGATAATAGATGTGGTGGAATACTTTTTATGGAAGCTCTTTGTATTTTAAAGGAAACACTTATTTCCTCTTTAAGCTTGAAGCTAACTTTTGGTGAATTGAGATAGGTAATTTTATCATATTGGAAATGTTCATCGCTCCTTTTGTTATAAAAACTTTTCAATAGTGGTAGATGTTAAATTTGTTACATGCATTTGCAGCATCTGTTAATATGACTTTATGACTTTTTTCTTTTTAAGTTGATTATAATGAATTATATTAATCTCATCTTTAATCACCCTGGCATTGCCAGGTTAAACCACACATGGTCAAGGAATATTAGTCTTAATATCTGCTGCTATTTTGAACAGGTTTATCATGCTCATTCTGATAGCTATGAGACACAAAACCAGCACTATGGAAGAAGCTTAACAAAAGAAACTATCAAGGATGGTAAGTGTGAAAAAAATCAGTGGTTTTATTTATTACAGTTAACAAAATAATTCTACAGTTATTTCAGTTTTAATTCTTCTTTAAAATAATGATTAATTTATAATAAACTTTATTTTCTCAGAACTGAATCAGTCATAATCCCTTATTTCTAACACACAAAATCATGAGACTGTGAATGGCCCTTCTTTGTACACTTTCATTTATTTCTTATTTCCATTGCTGTGACAAAATCCCTAAGATGACCATCTTAAAGGGAGAAAATGTTTATTTTGGCTCTTGGTTTCAGTCTGTGTTCACTTGGGCCTGTGTCAGAAGGATGCATCATGGCATGAGTATGTGGTAGAGGAGAGCTGCTCACCTGTGGTGGCCAGGAAGCAAAGAGAAAAGTGAGGGGGGACGGGGTTCCAGTATCCCCTTTAAGGGCATGCCCCAGTGACCTACTTCCTTTTACCAGATCCACCTCCGGAAGGTCGTATCAATAAGTAAGACTAAGTCTTCAGCATATGGGCCTCGGGGGGGACACCACAGATCCAAACTTTAGAAATGTGCTTTAAGAAAAAAATTGAACATCTGTGTACCAACTGTCTAGCTCAATACTGAAACTAAAGGTTGTCTTTAGAGTCTTTTTTTTTTTTTTTTTTTGGTGCTATTGGCATTTGAACTCAGGGGCAGATACTCTGCTACTTGAGCTATGCCTTCACCCCTGTTAGCTTTTAATTTATTTTTCAGATAGGGTCTTGCTTTTGCTTGGGGCTGGCCTATGACTACAATCCTCCCACCCCTTCCTCCCATGTAGCTGGGATTACAGCATGCACCACCATCACATCCGGCTTTTTGTCTAAGATAGGTTTTTTCCCTGAGCTAATCTTGGACTTTGACACTGCCTCCTACCTTAAGCTATAAAGTCAGTTTTTTAAAGTGAGGCTTAGTATCATAGTTTATTAAAATTGTTCTGTGTAATGTGTCTTTTTTGAAACTTCCCATTTGTGGCTGAGTCATATCAAAAACTTCTAGAGCTACCTAATGAATAATCAAATAGTATTACAATGGTTTAAACAAAGGCTATTAACATGTATACACATATATGTTATCTAAATTTACACATTTCTGAAAATAATATTAGATGTTTATTCTTGGCTCTACTAAATAGAGAAGAGTTTATGTGTGTTATAGAGTTTGTAGAAGAATTTTTTTGTTTTGTATAGAAAACAATCATCCATATACTTCACTAACAGCAAGGAAATACTCAGATTGCTGTTTAAAAAATATTTTCCTGGGTTGCCGGGCACTGATGGCTCATGTCTGTAATCCTAGCTACTGGGTAGGCTGAAATTCTGAGGATCTCAGTTTGAGGCCAGCCAAGGCAAATAGTTCTCGAGACCCTGTCTCCAAAATAACCAGAGTAAAATGGACTGGAGGTGTGGCTCAAGTGGTAGAGTGCTTGCTTTGTGAGCACCTGCTTTGCAAGTGCAAAGCTCTCAGTTTAAGCGCCAGTCCCACCAAAAAAAACCACCACCACCAACAAAAAAAAATATATACACCATATATAAATTAATATATAAATATAATTATATATTCATGTAACATTTATAGTTATATTTATAAATTTATAAATATATAAATACATATTATATATATATATATGCCTATGCCAACCTCATATCACAAACCTTCTGATCTTTGCCTCCCAATAATAAGATAATGCAGAGCGAGAGTTGAACTACCTGTCTACCTGCAATAACTTTCTTTTTTGTATGAATAGGATAGTTCACTTTACTTTAGTGTCATTTAAATGTTTTCTAGTTTGTGTTCTTCACGGAAGATTATAATCTAAGTTTCTCTGTCTAACTAGAATTCTAGAACTAACTATTCAGTTAATTATAAAGGTGGAAAAATTACTTAAGAATTTGGCCAACTGGGTGTTCACTTTCCAAGTGATAGCTATTTCAGAATTTGATTCTAATCCTAATATATCTTATTTCATAGGCGTCTCCAGGTTTTTTCACAATGGGTTCTGCCTAAGAAAAGATGCTGTTGCTGCCAGCATTCAGAAGATTGAGAAAATTCTGCAGTGGTTTGAAAACCAGAAGCAGCTTAACTTTTATGCAAGTTCATTACTGTTTGTTTATGAAGGTTCATCTCAGCCAGCTACTACAAAATCAAATGACAGAACTTTGGCAGAAAAGCTTTTGTCCAGAGGACAACTGTCAGACACAAACGTCCTAGAGTACAATAACAACTTTCATTTGTTAAGTGCCCCAGCAAATGGAAAAATAGAGTCTTCAGTAGGCAAAAGCTTGACCAAGATGTATGCTCGGCACAGAAAAATGTATTCAAAAAAGCATCACAGTCAGACTTCATTGAAAGTTGAAAATATGGAGCAAGACAATGGGTGGAAAAGTATGTCACAGGAGCACTTAAACAGAAATGTACTTTCCCGACTGGAAAAAGTCTTTTACCATCTTCCCAGTAGCTGCCAAGAGATTACAGAAGTAGAAGTACGAATGATAGATTTTGCTCATGTCTTCCCTAGCAACACAATAGATGAGGGATATGTTTATGGTCTAAAGCATTTAGTTTCTGTACTTCGAAGTATTTTAGACAATTGAATCTTTTGCTGCAATCTTCTGAGGATGGGCCAATCAGAATGAAGAATAGTCATTAACTCTGCACCTGTAGTGCTATGTAAAAAATTTGTATTGTGAGTTGACATCTTATTTGTCTTTATACTTTTGGTAGAAAGGTTAACTTTTTTATAATCTTACTCAGGAATACTAATTTGTTCATTAGAAACAGGAATGTTAAGTAGGAAATGTGGTGGTAAGGTACATGGCTTAAACGTCTGTTTGGCTCAAGAAAATGCAAAATATGAATCATTTAGTCATTAAGAGTTCATTTAGTTCTCAGTAGCCAATTTATCAAGAAATCTGTCCATCCAACCTTGACAGTGAGCCATATCTAAATTATAACATTATCAGAACACCTTCAAATGTCTAGAAAGCACAGGTTGACATCCTTAGTGTTGCTATGTGTGAACTTACTAAAACTGGAGAAAATTCTACTTCAGAAGTGAGTACTGTTTAGGTTTTATATTAAAAGTTCAGACCAGCATATCAAAAGGTGCTTCTTAGTGAAATGATTTAGAATTGTTGCATTCCAAAAGCAGGTTTCCCCTTTAATTTCCATTTATCTATACATTTCAAAATCTTATACTTCCTGAAAAACATAATTAAAATGGACAAGAACAATAACAACAAAAATCTTGAAGTTAAGGGCACTAATTCTTATCAGTGTCAGGAGAAGAAATTATTTGCAAGGATCAAAGTATTTTTCTTTTAAAATCTTTCGTTTATGGTAAAATTGGAATCTATACTTACTATATTGGGAAAAGTGTCATAAATTGTCTAATAGCTTTTTTCTCCAACAGGCTTCAAAATGGCAAATGGCTAAAGCTTTGTTTTATTTCTCTTTTAAATAATGTTTGAGTTTTTCCTTTAAAATTTTTTTCTGTCCTCAGTTAAGCAGAAGTATAAATGTATGTTGCTAAAAATAGCATTTCTCAGAATTCACTTAAGCAGTGAAAGATGACATATAGCCATGTGTTACAAGAAGCACTACAGATAAATTAGTGCATAATATAGAGTTTGGTGCAGACCTAAATCCATGCTTCTGTTTCGCCCTTATTCAAAATACTTTTATATTCAACACAGAAAGTATAATTTAGTTTTTATGCAGGGTAGAGGTAATGCTACTTTTCCTGGAAAAATTAGGTTTATAATTATCTTTGTTTCACACCTGCCATTTAACAATTATTTTCAAAACAACTAGTTGTCAATGAACACATTTAAAAATTTGAAATTAAATTTGCAGATGCATTTGATGCTGTTACTGTCATTACTCTCACTTTCGCTAATAATACATCTTAGTAGTTATTCCATATTTCTGGAAAATATTTTAAGACTTTTTTTCTCCTCTTTTTCTCTTAAATTTCAAATTAAACTTTTGATTCCAAGTGCCATTTTTTTGTGATGTGGAGAAAATTTTAAGTTTATCTTACCTTTCCAGCCCTTCTCTGAAGGTACTTTGCAAATATGAGTCCAAACAAAAGCACCAAATAAATGCTCTGTGAAAGCTGTGCTTAATAAATCTATTAAACTGGAATAACTCTAAAAAAAGTTCATGTATACTTTAGAAATTTTTTTTTATTTGGAAGCAGTGTAACGTATTTTCTATAGAGACTTCAGGTTTATCTCTACTGCCCAAGAGGGTTTTGACTGTAGGGTTTTTGTTCTTTGCTTTGTGGGAATAAATTTCAAGTAATAATTAATATAAAGTTTAAATTTTACCTTTTTTCTTATAATATGGACTTTTGTTGTTGGTACTTGACTAGTGGTCCAATAAATCTGAAGCTTCTATAATAAACACTATGTTGAATCTTAAGATGATATACGTATGGGATGGTATTAGATTATGTACAGTGAATTTAATAAACTTAAAAGTATTATCAGATTCTTTGCACATTTTAGCTGAATGAAGTCTGAATCAGCTATACCAGATTTTTTTCATCTTTATCTATTTGGAAATACAGTTCTGTAAAATCAGTGTCTTAGCTTTTTGAAAGATCATGTTTTTTTTTTAAAAAAACAAGTGCTTTTATCTTTTGTTTTTCAGGGAAGAGATTAACATTTAATTCTTTTTGTTTACATTTTTTATCACTGTTATCTGATATCCATTTTATGTTACTTTATAAGTAAGCTGATATGTAACAGTAATTATCTGTTTATATAGTCTACTTATGACTATTTTATTATTTAGTCCTGTCTTTTAAGATTATGCTGAAATCTGCCACTGTAGGGATGAATGATCACTATTTACAAGGATATTTGAATGTGTAAATGTTGAAGAAATAAGAAAATAAGGATATAGTTTAGAATAATAGGCTTATTAGTTTTTCTGCCCTAGGAAACATGATTTTAGTGTATTTCTTATGGAATATACTCATAAAAAGGACTTCTAAGATATTGTGGATGTGAATACATTTCTCAAATAAAATTTAAATTGTAAAATAGTTTTATAATAAAGTATTTACAATAATTAATATTTTAATATGGATGGAAGTTGCATAGATTAAAATCAGTGATAAATGTTAAATATTTTATTTAAATAGTTTTTCAAGAAACAATTATAAAAATGTGTATATTAAATGGCTTTAACATGGACCTTGTGGTATTTCAAATCATTATTCAGGATTCTTTGTGTAAAGATTGTACTTTGCCTCTACACTACAACTTGCTTTTGTGGGCTTCTAGACTATGTTTAAATGGGTAAGAACTTTTTTCTGATAGTTGATTTAGTATAGTTTAGTGTTTACTATTTCTAAAATATGTTCTTCACATCATCCTATAACATTTGAAAAAAGGAATTAATTTCATAATTACTTCAGTTGCAGTTTTCTTGCTCCATAATAACTGAAAACACTTTTATTTTAGGATTTGGAATATAATAGGATGAAAGAAAACTGTCGAACAATGAAAGAATTTTATTGTGAAATTACAGAAATTTTGCCCATTATTTTAAAAGCATTGCCATTATTTTAGTATTATTTACTCTTAGAGTTTGACATTTAAAACTTGATTGGCTTTAAAAATTGTTTACAATATCTACCTTATTCAGTGCCTTTGACCTTGATTTTGTGTATTTGTAGCTTCAGTTATCCAGTCTTTTACATCCTATCATCTTTTAATGGCCCAGTAAACATCAATTTCTTTTAAAAATTGTTGGTTTGGTTATCTGATGAGGTAGCAATTACCCATTAATGCTTTAGGTAAAGTGGTGTTCCCTTTAGAGGCCAGGCTTCCTAGTTAATTCAAAGCATTTATTGGATGAATACCATGTGCCAAGCTTTTTTTTTAACCCCCTCTCCTAGTATGTAAGTGTCATCTAAGCAGACAGTGTTCTAACCATTTCCAGCACCAATCTAGGTAGAGTGGGGTTAGGGACTTAAGTGAAACAGAGATAAAGAGAAATGTGCATTTAAAAATAATGATAACTAGCATTCAGGCTTGTGTAACGATAAAGTAATACGTACTGAGTTAAGATGAGGCAAGTAACTTATACGGTAGAGGTTAGAAATAAAATTTTGTAGCATCGTAACCTCCATTTGAATCTTGAGTTGGAGTAGTAGTTAAAATAGCATAAAAAAGTCTTAATTTTTCACTTTTCTTGCTAGTAAAGGTACTTTTACTTATATTGTCCCTTTAGAGTAGTGTTTAAACATAATATTACTGGGAAAAACATTCCATTACATATTCATAAGCAACTAACTCCACATTTTAAAATTGTATTTTACAACTTAGTGCAAATATGTTTTGGCCTCAATCTTACCTTCAAATCACTGGTATTTTAAATTTGGCAATGAATCTGAAATTACTTTTTGACTATGGTGTATCTATATTATAATTTAAAATGCTTAATATTTTAGGGTTGGAGCCACCATCTCTTGTTGTTAATATTTAAATTCATTTTGCTTATTTTGATAACCTCTAGTTGGAAAAAGTACCCATGTGCTGAACAAATTGGTATATATGTTCAAGAATTTTAATTCTTAAATTTTGTCATTTTGAGGTTAAATTTTGGCCTGGTGTTCACTTACAAAATAAACCGTTTAATTGTGGAGTGAAATAGTCTTAAGTAGGATGTTTGATGCACCTGCAGATAAATGAGAAGTGTGCACAAAGACACTTTACTATGGGAACTGTACTGGAAGATTTATGAAAGCATGTGAAATTGCACCTACAATTGTGTTATTAGTTGACTATATGCAGCAATGCTAAGTTTCTTGTACTTGATGAATGAATGTATTTAGCCAGTTACTTGGTTTAAATGTCTAAGTATGTCACTAGTTTTCTCTTTTTAGTGTATTTGTAATTTGTACTATTGATGGGGGTATTCTTGGACTGCAGGGGGTTATTGTCAGTGTGTGATTTGTGTCTTTATTTTATAGAATCATCTAATGTGATATACCAATTTTTATAAGTGATATTTAGAACATTCTAATAACTGTATATTTGACAACCTATTAAAATGTTTTGCATTGGAGTTGTTTTCATTAATTGTAACATGCTAACAAATTTATGGTAGTGTAAAACTCATTCAACAAATGTTTGAAACTGTAGGAATCATTAGGTATTCAAAGGTAAGGCATGGCGTTAGAAAGATCATACATATTGGAAATGGGAAAATAAATTATTTTGTACGAATATTTTTTCTATCCTAACTAAAATCTTTGGAATTGACACAGTAAGAGAAGTGGACTATGTGAGAAATTGACTTGGCTGTGAAAATATAATTTTAAGACTTTAAGTGGGTAAGATATTTTTGCATGTATTTTAAATTTTGTGAATTGGTTACCTAGTCAGCGATCGAATAATTCCCATTCATTAAGATGAGGGTACTGTCAGACACCTACTCTTTACCATAGTCTTTGTATTTGGAGGTCTTAAAAAAGTTGAATAAAGGACTAGCATAGTGGCTCAAGCAAGCATGGGGCCCTGAGTTCAAACCTCAATACCACCAAAAAAAAAAAAGTTTATAAGCATACACAATAAAATATGTTTTTAAAAAGTTAAATAAGATTCAGTACCTGTTTCTCAAGATGTGTGCTGTCTGGTACAGAAAAATACATGTAAATGGGTATAAAATATTGGGCCATAATTGATACCTGGCAGTATCCAGCAGGATTGTAAAAGAAGGGAGTCACTGCTAGCAGCATGAAGAGGGTGATTCCTAACATCACAGCAATTGTAAGTGAATGCTCAGAAGGTCACAATGAATTCCTCCTTTATGACTATTTCTGTGTACTATGAGGAAGATTAATACTTTGTGAGATAGTTCTTTTTTTTTTTTAAGACAGGCTGCCTAACTGCTGAAAATAGCAGGGAACTTCACTGCCATCATCCCCAAATTTCAGCTAAGTATAAAGAATAAAAGCTGAAATGAATGAAAAGTGAAAGTAATTATGAAATAACAGTGAAAATCATCACTTGGAGATTTTGCTCAAGTGCAGATTCTGGTTAAGTGAGCCTAGATGGGATCTGTGATGGACTGTAAACAAGATTTGTAAAAGTTCCTTAGGTGTAAAGGAGTGCAGTAGAATTGGACTACTTTGAGCAGCGACCTGGCCAGAGCTGCTTGACAGCCAAGAATGCAGACAGCAGTGGCTCAAGATAATAGCTCTTTTCAATTGGACAAATAGTTCATTAGCTTTGTCAAGATCTCAGAGAAGACTTTTTGAGAGTCCTGTAATAGACTTGTCATTTTCTATCATTTGTGCCATTGGCCTTATTTCTGTGTGAATGATGACTACTTTGCCAACTGAAGAACATTCTACATAGGCTTGCTACCTACAGTGTACTTGCCATCTAAACATCCTAGAAATATTTTGGGTATAAATTACATAGTCATTTGGATGTCCCCTTTAAATGTTTGATTTGATTTTGAAAACCAAATCTGTGTGTTTTTAAAGGAAGTTAGGAATTTTAAGAATTGCTCAATGGTGCTGGGGTCAAACCCAGGACCTTGTGCATGCTAGGAAAGTACTTTACCATGGAGCTACACCAGCATCCCTTAACATTGATATTTATTACAAGTTAACATAATTTGATAAAGTACCTTGGGATTGTTTAAAAAATGGACACAGATAAAAGGAAATAGCATTTATTTTGGATACAAAGAATTGCAATTTGAGTACACTGAAACAGGGCAGCTCCGAGTAGTGTCTTGTAAGGCAAATACAGAAGAGTGTTTCTTAAATAGGGGATTTCCACAAAAAGTTGTTTTGGGAGGCATTTGATTGGCTGGGCA